GCTGTGACTCTCCTCTCTCCGCCTGTGGGTCATGCTTGACCCCGGGGGTGCAGCTGCCCTGGCCGGTGTGCCACAGCTGAGAATGGGCAGCAGTGTTGCTTGATCTGCTGACCTTGGAGTTTCTTGTTATGAGGAATGTTGTTATGGGTGTCTTAGCATTACTGCCTTTATAATGTGTTGAGTTTCAGTGTATTCCTGTTGTAACCAGACCCTGGGATTGTACTCAGCAGTGAGGAGGGGACCACAAGCGTTTTAAATAAATAATAAACAAGTTGAGTAATAGGGAAGCATCGGCAATATAGTCTTTCACAGCTGGACTTTTAGGTTTAGTCATGCTGTACCTGGAAGTACCAATTAGCTCAAGTCTCTTAAGGCAGTTTCTTTTTCTTTTACCGAAAATGCCTCTCCACGTTGTAACAAGCAAGGATTTTAAGCCAACTTCAAAAACATGGACGGTTTTATTGGCTCACACAGAAAGACGAGGAAACGGCCTGTTCTCATTGCCATCAGGCTCATTTATATCTCAGCTTATTAATAAGCTGAGTTAGGATCACACAACCACGGCCAAAGTCTGACTGTCTAAAGGAGCCTCGTAGATTCTGGTTAATATTTAGGTAGGTACCGTGCTAATGCAGGCTGTGTATGTACCATGCATGTAAAGCACATTACTCTCGCCTGCCCTGAATCCTGGGAAATGTAGTTTGTTAAGGAATTATAGCTCTGTGATGAGTAAACTACACTTCCCAGAATTCTTTAGGGGAAAGCCGTGGGCTTTAAATGTATGGTTGCTTACACAGCCTTAGACTGCTGAGCGCTTGCATGCAGAAAGCCCCAGGTTCAATCTCTAGCATCTCTGCTTCGGATCTTGCAGAAGCAACTGTCTTCCGTCATGGAACCCAAGATGTTAGACCCATCCTGGCATTGACCAGTCCCAGCCCTGCTTAGCTAGCAAGGTGGTCGCCTCATGTGCTGTCAGAGGTCAGAAGGAACTACATTAGTCTCGGCCACTGTACCAAACTGGACTGCATACCCTCCAAGTGTCCCGATTTTTCCAGGGACAGTCCCAAAATTACAAAAGCTTGCTTTGATCCCAGAATGTCCCTAGTTCCCTCACCAGCTCCACTGCAGAGCTTGGGGAGGAAGATGAGCTGGCGCTTGTCGTGAGTTGTGGGCAATGGCAGTGGCAGATGCAAGAGAGCCTCTCCATGGCCATTGCTGCCAGCCTCCTCCCTTGGGCAGCTCGTGGCGGCTGCTGGAGAGCAGTTGAGGAGGAGAGGCTGCTGCCACTGAGTCCCAGCTTCGTGTGACGCGCCAGTTCTGAGGTGCAGACAGGGCAGGGCTGCCCTGGGCGGGAAGAAAGGGGGAGTGGAGCGGAATGCAAGGAGTCTTGATTTTTTGTATTTTTAAAAAGTGCTTGGTGTGTCTGTGTCTAATCTTGCCCCTGTCTAAAAATGTATTTGTTGGTGTGCGTTTTTCTTTTTGTAAATCTACAGAAGAAAAAAGTAAAATAAAACTGTGATTAGGGGGTTTTCTTAGGACAGTGGATGGTTTATGTGTTGTGTCCTATTGTTTTCAGTGGTGGTGGTGCTCACCTTTCTATTGATAAGAAGTGTTCTGCAGGAGTAGGGAACAGAAAATAGGGGATTGAGAAAGGTCAGCAGGGGGCAAGAGTGAATAATGGCCCTATTTTCATCTGAGGAATGTTGGAGGGTATGGGACTGCAACTATACTTATTTACGGAACTCGTATTTCACAGGGCTGGGCTTATCCCATGATTTCCACGGGAACATGGACATTACTAAGCAACAATATTCACCTTCCTGGAAATCTCAGGTTTCACATTTTATTTGAAAGAAAGCAAGTCTCTAGGCCTTAGAGATGTGAAGTGGCTGAAAGTGAAATAGGAATGTTTGTTGACATCTCAGAAGCCAGAAGGGTGGCTGAAGATTTCCAGGAGTTCAGGAACATGGATTCCCACGACCTAACAAAACCAGGATAGATCATGCCAGATAGAATCAGAGCAGAATAATTTATGCAAAAGAAGAGGATGCTGATGCAGATTTGGACAGCTTATAAAAATAGTATAAATCAGGTACAGAGCAAAGATGGATTTTAGCTGTTTGTTTACTTGAATTTGTTGTTTTGGGGGCTGATGTTTTGTGAGAGTTGCTTTTTGTGTGTGGCAATTTTATTGTGGATATGTTTTTACATATTGTATTTTTCATGCTGTATGCTGCTTTGAATTTACTTTCGATTTTCAAAAAAGGCAAGGAACAAGTTTTAAGATAAATAAAGTTGTAGATAATGGATGCAGAATTTAGCACATCGCTTTGGTAAAGTGCGAACAATTCCAGGCTACTTCTTGCAACCTGTAGAAGCACAGTATTCTGTGACTAGTAGATAAACTAACCTGGGACTAAGCTAAACACAGATCTTGGGGCATATTCTACTTCCATTGCTCCCACTCCCTTCACTTTCTGTTCCCAACCTCCCACCCTGCATCCTGTTGCAAAGGATGGGGTTAGGAGCACCACTGAATATCTGCCCCTACTGCAACATGCTTCCTGGGGGTGATTGTCTTCTGGTGAACGGAAACCCCACCCACAATGCAATAGCCTCCCACCCCAAGTGCCAGGCCGTTGGTGAAAGGGGTGCCATATTTCGCTTTGATGTGGTAACGGGTGAAAGCCAAAGGGAGGGAAAACACAGCTGCATCACCATGGTGATTTATATTTGTGTTCAATTTACATCCTGCCCATCAATTTAATTGACTTTGACTGAGCATTAGGAAAAATGTATTGATGGTAAAAGCAGTTTCCTCCGGTGGAACTGATTGCCTAGAGGGGTAACGGGCTCCCTTATGGGGGGGTCTTAAATTATAGCAGGGATGGGGAAACACAGGCCTGGTGGCTGAATGTGGCCCTCCAGACATCTCTATCAGGCCCTTGAAACTCTTTCCCAGGCCACACCCCTGCTTCATATCTTCCTTGAGTGTTTTTACTGATAATGTTCTCTGATAATGAAACTAGCCTACTGTACAGAGGTGAAATTTGCATTTGTGGCTCCACCCACTTCTGCCTCTGGCTCTGCCTACTGCCGGCGTGTGGCCCTATGGCTGAAAAAGGCTCCCCAACCCTGAGGTAGAGGCTGCACATCTGTCTGTGAGAGTATCCACCTCTGAGTCTTCTGCATGGAGGAGCAGGTTGGATGAGATGACCTTTAGATTACCTTACAACCCCCTGCAATGCAGGAATCTCAGCTAAAGCATCCATGACTGATGGCTATCCAACCTCTGCTAATAAACCTCCAAGAAAGGAGAGTCCACAACCTTGGAAGGGAGACCACTCCACTGTCCAACAGCTCTTACTTTCAGAAAGTTATTTCTGATGTTTAGTCAGAATCTTCTTTCTTGTAACTTGAAGCCATTGCCTCGAGTCCTACCTTCCAGAGGAGGAGAAAACAAGCTTGCTCTGTCTTCCATGTGACACCCCTTCAGATATTTAAAGGTAGCTACCCCAGCTCCTCTCAGTCTCCTGTTTTCCAGGCTAAACATACCCAACTCCTGCAACTGTTCCTCATCAGGCTTGGCTTCCTGACCCTTGATAATCTTGGTTGCCCTCCTCTGCACATGTTCCAGGTTGTCAACGTCCTTTTTAAATTGTGGTGCCCAGAATTAGACACAGTATTCCAAGTTGGTCTGACTAAGGCAGAATAGAGTGGTACTGTTACTTCCCTTGATCTGGACACTAGACTTCTGTTGATGCAGCCTAGAATAGCACCAGCTTTTTATGCTGCTGCATCACACAGTTGACTCATGGTAAGCTTGTGGTCTGCTAAGACCTCTAGATCCTTTTCACAAGTACTACTAGTAAGCCAGGTGTCCTGCATCTTATATTTGTTCATCTGGTTCTTCCTGCCTATGTGCAGAATCTTACATTCGTCCCAATTGAAATTAATTCTGTTAGCTTGGGACTGTTCTCCAATCCATTAAGGTCATCTTGAATCCTGATTCTGTCTTCTGCAGAACGAAAACTGTTTCTTAAGAAGTACTTTTAAAGGGCAAAAGAAAAAAGAAGAAAAAAATACAAGAGATCTAGTGTGTGTGTGTAGTAAATAGGAAAAAAGTAGTAGTTGGTCTCCATTGATTCTAGAATAAAAAGTTGTGTGTACTCATCCTAAAGGTCCACCCAGGGAGGCAGTCAAGGCATCGCTTGGGGGCTGAGGTCCATAGCCCCACTTAGCAGAATGAGCTGGAGGTGGCACATATTGGTTTATTAAGACTGCATCTGGCCCTGCCTCGATTCCTAGGGTTCCTAGGAGACTATTAACTGTGAAATTGTGTGCATGTATGCATATATTCAAAACAGTGCCTTTATTTTGAGATATTTAAGATCAAACCAAATAAAGCAATGAATGGGTATCTTCCCCCAAATGAAAACGTTTAGTTATTGGCTTTTTTCCATGTCGTGCCTCTCTCTCTTGCAGGAGGCTCCTTCCAAAGACGTTGAAGTGTTTACTTGGCTCATACTTGGTATGAATGAATATTTCTGCAAAATGTAGGCCACAGTGCCTCAAGCGACAGGATGTGCCACAGGGTGGGTACTTTGCATTCATATTCAACAGCTCTTCCATTTCTTGTTTGCTTCCTTATGTAATCATTCTAATACGATAAATATGTATAGAATCCCATAAAGCCTCCCACTGGAGAGAAACAAACGTGGCAGAGGCGAGTGGGCAAAAGGAGAGCGCGCCTGAGAAAAAGGTCGGAGCAACGGGAGGCTGTGCATGTGCCCAAACTGATGCGCAGTGAATCATCACCCCCAAGGTTTTTAATTTTTTTTTTTTTTAGTGTGCAGTTGGACACAAAATGTAGAGTCGGGGTGCGTGTGGATTTGTGCAGTTGGAAAGCTGATAATATTCATTTTGAATAATGGGGAAATTAGACATGTTAGAAGTATGTGTTTATTAAGCACTTGAATGACAGGCCATGTCAGGAACAGCATGCACGCAAATTATAGAAAGGTTGGAATGCATTCAATTTCCATACTTAAAATGAACTGTCCAAACCATATTAAAGGACCTTCTTCTTTTAGCTGGAGTCTTGTCTTCCACACCTTCATCTTTAGGCAGTTTAATGCCTTGTTGCATCCTTGTAAATATTTTTGTACCTGTTCATTATTGAACTAAGGCAGATTAAAATATGAAATGTTGCCGGGTGGTAGATAAGGCTCCTGTGGAGTACCCCTGATGCAGGCTGTAAACAAGGAGCAAAGCACGCTTTTGTGTTCCTTCGCCTTTTTCTTTTTCCGTGTCAGACAGGGCGCTCGTGCAGTTGGCAAATCTGTTTAAAAAACCCTGATTACCCCACTGGGGTTCAGTGTGTGCAGTTGAACCAGTGTTCTGCACAGGGCTGAGCGGCAGTCAGTCTTTGCGATTGATTGGACATTGTTTTGGCTGGAAATAACACTGGTGGTGCCTTTTCAGTTAGCGCTTGTTGGCAGGGCAGAGGTCTCGGCAAGGCTTAAAAGTCGGCTTTGGAATATAGTCTGATTTAAATGGGAAATGAAAAGAAAGAAAAAAGAGCACTGAATGTTCAAAACATTATTATAAGATGAGATCTTATAATAATATGGGAATGTTAACAATACAGGCAGTCAAATCTCTCCCAGGATGAGGGGGAAAGGAGACAAAAGATGTCAAAGGATCATGAAGGATTCTATAAATGCCTGTTTCTGGGGAAGCTGACTGGGTCTCTTAAAAGAGATAGCTAAGCCAAACTTCTCCATGTTTTTATAACCAATGTGGTGCCCTCCAGTTGTTGTGGGCCCCAACTTCCATTGGCCACAGCCAATGGAGCACAAACATCTGAAAGGCAGTAGGTTGCTTACAACCAATATGAAGCTAGATGTGGAATATTCAGGACAGACAAAAGCAAGTAATTATTCATGCAGTGCCTGGTTAAACTAAAGAATTCGTTCCCACAGGATGTAGCAATTGGTGACCAACTTGGATGACTTTGAGAAAGGAGTAGACAAATTCATGGAGATAAGGCAATCAGTGGCTGGCTGCCTCAGTGGCTATGTCCTACATGCACTTTTGGAGGTTATATGTCTCTGAATACCAGTTGATCAGATTCACAAGTGGGGCTATTGGATCTAGGTTCTCCTTGCAGGCTTCCCAAAGTCATCTGGTTGGCCACTGTGAAGAAATGATGCTGGAGATGGGCTTTTGGCCTGATCCACCAGGGCTCATCTTATGATCTTTAGATTGGCCACTGCTGTGACTCTGTAAGGCTGGTTTTTATGTTCATAGATGTTTGCCCTCCAGCAAAATAATTTAGTTATTTATTATATTTATATCCCACCTCTCCCCCCAAGTAGCTCAAGGAGGCATGCATGAAAGACAGATCAAACATTATAGTTCAAATTAAAAACGATGCTTGATAACAGTCGCAACCCTGACCTGAAATATTGATGCTTCGTTTGGATAATTACATATCTTCTGTTCTGCGGTGTCAACACTGAATAGACCCACTGAAATTAATGGGCATGAGTAACACTGGTCCATTAATTTCAATGGGTCTAATCTGAGCATGACTAATGTTGGGTATAACCTATAGCATTATCCTGCATTGTGTTGTCCTTATTTTTGGGGGGTGGCGGGGGTGAGAAATTTACTTGCCTTTGAGTCCAGCTTGGCTGCTTATACGTCCTTACTAGGGCTGCAGCTGGATTTTAGCTGATCAATCATGAGGTGTTTTTTTTTAAAAAAAAACATTGTTATTAAATAAAAATACTGCCCCATATAGTAAGTTATATCACAAGAAAGAAGAGAAAAAGGACATCATCGTATCATTTGTATTCTAACATATTATAAATATATACTTTCCCATAAATCTATTTACCTTACATTCCTAAGAAACATCTTAAATTAGCTATATGTATAATAAAGGGAAATGGTAGTACCACTCCTATTCTGCCTTAGTCAGACCCCACCTGGAGTACTGTGTCCAGTTCTGGGCTTCACAGTTTAAGAAGTATACTGTATAGCCAAACTGGAATTCCTGCAGATGAGGATGGCCAAGATGATCAAGAAGATGGAGCCAGCTTGTTTTCTGCTGCTCTGGCAGTTAGTGCCCAAACCAATGCATTCAAGTTACAAGAAAGGAGAGTCCAACCAAAGATTAGGATGAACTTTCTGATGGTAAGAGCTGTTCAACAGTGGAACAGACTGTCTTGCAAGGAGGTGGGTTCTTCTTCATTGGGGGCTTTTAAACAGAGTTTGGATGGCCATCTGTCAGGCCTCCTTTAGCTGTGATTCCATTTCCTACATTGCAGCAGGTTGGACTAGATGCCTCTTGGTATCCCTTCCAACCTATGATTCTATGATTATGTGAAATACAAACACAGAGGGTTTGAAGGTTGAACCATATTAGTTTTATTTTGTTTCTCAAATCATCTACCCATTAAATTTCTGCATAGGTACCAACAATAGTTTTGAACAAGAAGCGTATTTCCTTTTTCTTTTCAGAATATGTATGCTTTTAGACTCGGCTTTTAGAGATGGATGATTGCCTTTCCTAATGTAGTTTTTTCTGGCTTTCTGACTGCCCATTAATTGTTCCTTTTCATGTTATTTGTAATGCTTTTGTGTCTGTTTTAATTACCAACTGTTAGCCCCACTGAATTTTTGTTTTCTAAAGAAAGGCAGGCTATACAGTTTAAATAATAGTAATAATAATTTTTAAGCATGGTGTGAAAACACTTTTGATCCCCCCCCCCCCCCCGTATCTCCACCCTATTCATTAAACACCGGAAAGATCTTCTGTTTGATGCTCATTGACTTGTGGCCCAATCTTAAACATATATATTCAGCAGGCCTTCACCTTCCTCCTTAGTCAGTTTTGCATTTGATTCATAGTTGAGAAAAGATATCTTGCCATGCCATGACCATCTTTGGACGCCATGGCTAGCTTAGGGTTTAACCATGATTTCAGGCTGAGCACAAAGGCTAGCCCCCACCCTCCCACATCATACGTATGCAATGCTCTCAAGAAAAAGAATTATGAATCAAGGACAAATTACTGTGTGCTATTCATTTTGATTGTAAACTGCTTTCAGGAGTCTTTGTTGGAAAGTTGATTGACTGGACCAGATTACCATGGCCTAGTTAATTTCACTCCTAAAGTCAATTTTAAAAAGATTGCTTTTATGGCAAGGAAGTGAAGAGGGAGAGAGGGAGTTTGCATGAGGGAATATGTAAACCTGTCCTTCCGTATACTTTTTAAAAAAAGTCTGATTTTTTTTTTTTTTTAAAAGTTCAACAACTTTCTTAGGCGCTGGGAGGGGACGGTAGCCTATCCAACAGGCACATCTGCTGGCTGTCATGCTGAGGGCAGGCAGGTATTCCCATCCAGTCCAGCATCCTGTTTTCTCAGTAGCCAGCCAGATGCGTATGGGGAAGCAGGATCTGAACGCTATTGTGCTTTCCCCTCCTGCGGTTTCCAGCAAGCTTGTACTCAGAATCATACTGTCCCCCACACTGGAGGTAGAACATATCCATCAGGGTTAGTAGCCATTGATAGCCTTATCCTCCATGAATTTGTCTAATCCTCTTTTAAAGTCATCAAGTGTCCATTGCAGGATAGCTCAGTTGGTAGGGCATGAGGCTCTTAATCTCAGGCTCATGGGTTCGAGCCCCACGTTGGAGAAAAAGTTCTTGCATTGCATTTCTTCACCGCCTCTATTGCATCCGCAGAAAACAGCAGCAGGAGACTCTTCCAGGTGGTTCACAATTTAGAGGAATCACCAGCTACATCAGGACCCATTACGGGCCACATTATCTTCTGCAATGATTTTGCAAAGTTTTTTGCAGATAAAGTCACTCAGATTCGGGAAGAGGTAGACTCCCCCGTGGGAGCAGGGTGGAGAGTGCTAGAGTCCTGTCTAATCAAGTTGTGTGGGATCAATTCCAATCTGTTACCTTTGTGGATGTGGACAGGCTGCTTGGACGAGTGAAACCAACCACCTGTCTCCTTGATCCTTGCCCATCCAGGCTTATAAAATCTAGCTGGGAAGGGCTGGGTGATGGGCTCTATGGGGGTGGTGAATGCTTCCCTCTGTGAGGGAGCCTTCCCAGGTCCACTGAAAGAGGCGGTTATCAAACCGCTTCATAAAAAATCATCTTTAGATGTGGCCAATATGGCCAACTATTGCCCAGTCTCAAATCTTCCATTATTGGGCAAGGTGAGGCCTGGAAGAAGCGGACCATTTGGATCCCTTCCAGTCAAGATTCAGGCCTCATCATGGGACTGAAACTGCTTTGGTTGCACTGGTCGATGATCTCCGGCGGGCTAGGGACAAAGGTGAGAGCTGTTTCCTAGTTCTGCGGGATCTCTCAGTGGCTTTTGACACCATCGACCATAACATCCTTCTGGACCGTCTAGAGGGGCTGGGAGCTGGGGGCACTGTTATACAGTGGTTCTGCTCCTTCATCCTGGGCTGTGTTCAGAAAGTGGGGGGGGGGGATGAGTGTTCAGACCCCTGGGCTCTCACTTGTGGGGTGCCTCAGGGTTCTGTCTTCTCCCCCATGCTTTTCAAGATCTACATGCAGCCGCTGGGAGAGATCATCAGGGGGTTTGGGCTGGGTGTTCATCAGTATGCGGATGATACCCAGCTCTACCTCTTTTAAATCAGAACCAGTGAAGGTGGTGAAGGTCCTGTGTGAGTATCTGGAGGCAGTTGGAGGATGGATGGTGGCTAACAGACTGAGGTTGAATCCTGACAAGACTGATTTTGGGGGACAAGAGGTGGGCAGGTGTGGAGGACTCCCTGGTTCTGAATGGGGTAACTGTGCCCCTGAAGGACCAGGTGCGCAGCCTGGGAGTCATTCTGGACTCATAGCTGTCCATGGAGGCGCAGGTCAATTCTGTGTCCAGGGCAGCTGTTTATCAGCTCTATCTGGTACAAAGGCTGAAACCCTACCTGCCTGCGGACTGTCTCGCCAAAGTGGTGCATGCTCTAGTTATCTCCTGCTTGGACTACTGCAATGCGCTCTGTGTGGGGCTACCTTTGAAGGTGACCCGGAAACTACAACTAATCCAGAATGCGGCAGCTAGACTGGTGACTGGGAGCGGCCGCCGAGACCACATAACACCGGTCTTGAAAGACCTACACTGGCTCCCAGTATGTTTCCAAGCACAATTCAAAGTGTTGGTGCTGACCTTTAAAGCCCTAAACAGCCTCGGTCCAGTATACCCGAAGGAGCGTCTCCACCCCCATAATTCTGCCTGGACAGTGAGGTCCAGTGCCAAGGGCCTTCTGGTGGTTCCCTCGCTGCGAGAAGCCAAGTTACAGGGAACCAGGCAGAGGGCCTTCTTGGTAGTGGCACCCGCCCTGTGGAACGCCCTCCCACCAGATGTAAAAGAGAAAAACAACTACCAGACTTTTAGAAGACATCTGAAGGCAGCCCTGTTTAGGGAAGCTTTTAATGTTTAATAGAATATTGTATTTTAATACTCTGTTGGAACCCGCCCAGAGTGGCTGGGGTATAAATAATAAATTATTATTAATTATTATTATTTTAATAGCAATAACAACAGCACTAGATATCCCTTGCTGTCCTTCCTCTGGCAGGTAGAGGACCACTTTATTGCAACAGGCTTTTGAGAACTGGCTGTTTTTAATAGTTCTGTGCTGTTTTTACTAGTATTTCAATATATTTGTTTTTATATTGTTTTAATTGTATTATAGTTTAATTACTTGTAAACATTGTTTAATTTTTTAAAAATATGCTTTCAGCTTTTCATATTTTGTCCATGTTGTTTTGATTCTGGTAAGCAGCCTTGAGTCTGGGGGAAATGTGAGATATAAAGAAATATAATGACACCATGTGGGTGCAGGAAGCAAACAGAGAATACTGGAGAGAAGTTGAAGAGGCGTAAATCCAAAGATGGATGTGTGATGCTCTAGAATCATCATCATCATCATCCCCATATTTATGAAGGCTGGAGGCGTCCTAAATCTTTGCATGGGAGTCTTCCATAAACTGGGAGGATTGTGACACATTTTTAAAAATCCTCTCTTGACCTTGAAATGGCGCCACATTGTAAGACATTATAAACAGCTCCTCCTTTTCCTGCCTTTGCTCATTTGAAGCGAGTTGTCCCTATCCTACCAAGTAGTAGCAGTGTTCTTATTATTTTTGAGGAAGGTGGGGAAATACAATTAGATTTTTTTTAAAAGAGAAGGCAAAAATAAAAATTCTGATTAAAAGCACAGCCTCTTTCAAGTTTCCTTCATTTACAGAATCACCTGCAAGCAAAATTGCCCCCGCGGAGAATAAAGTGAGGAGTCCCACCGAGTGGCATATGGGATCAGGCCTTTTGGGGGACATTTTTTACGGTTGTGATCCGCTACCAACCACTCCAGCCAATGTGATTATATTTAAACCAGGAACCGGAGAGAAGTTGATCGGCATAATGCAATTTGTGGGATTACTTTCTGTCTGTTCCAGGGGCACAAAGGAAGAAGATATGAATAAGGAGAGGTGGAAGATGATGAACGGGATGGAGACCCCCTCCCCAAGGCCTTTATTCAGTGTTTCTTCTGAATGTCTTTTCCAGAATGGGTCGCTGCCAGTCATGTAAGCCAAAGCACAGATTTCATGCAGGTATTTTTATTTTCTTATAGCCCTACTGTTCCTCCCGTTTTGAGCTACCAGCTCCCATTTGTTGCCAAGGAGCAAACGATATGTTACGGTGCAGCCGCGTTCAACAACAAATCCCCAAGGGCCCCCACTTTCTTCCCTACCAAAATAGCCTTGGGGAGGTTATGACTTGCTTTGCAGAAGAGAGGAGATGGAAGGGGGTGCTTAGCCCTGTCCCTGCAATCAGTTTCCCCTCCCCAAAACTCTTCCCTCAGCTGCTTCTGTCAAGGTGCATGTTTATAAGAGAAACACAGTCCCCAAACACACACAGTATCAGCGAAAAGTGAAATTTAGTTGAAGGGTTAAGCACGTTCTGCCTTTCCCCGTGTTCCTTCTCCCCTTCAAAAGCAAACCTTCCCATGGGCACTTTGTAAGGAAGGCTAGAGCCACTGGTGCTATCCTATAATAATCAGTTTGTCCCATATTCCCTCTTTAAAAGAAGCAGATTGCTGCTCCAACCAAATTCTGAGTACCACCCCACCCCAAGCTGCATTAGAATAAAAATGAAAACATCAGTAGACATCATCGCAGATCTCCCACTAAATGCACTTGTTTACAAGTAGGCAAAATAAATGCAACATTATCAATGTACAAGAGAGCAGGACCGCCCCCGCCCCCCCGCAACGAGGAACTTAAACTAAAATTCAGCACAGGGGAAACCTGAGCTCAGTGGGATCTGCTTTGCATGCAGAAGGTCCCAAGTTCAGTCCCTGGCATCTTCTGGTAGGGCTAGGAAAGCTCCTTGTCCAAAATTCTGATGAGCTCCTGGCGAGAAGTTAAGATAATGCTGAGCGATAGGGACCAATGTTCTGACTTGGTTCAAGGCTGCTTCCTATGTTTTAAGAGTAAGGGCCATAGCCCTGTGGTAGAACGTCTGCCTTGCATGCAGAAGGTCTAAACTTCAGTCCCCAATAGGGGAGTGCTTAATTATTCCAATTTATTTAACTACGCCTGGCATAGCCTCTGAGCAAACATGCATAGGATTGGGCTCTACATCTTGTACTGGAATCTCAGGATGATTCTTTGCAATAAGGAAGGGCTGCAGCTCAGGGACAGAACAGCTGCTTTGCATGCAGGTCCTGGGTTCAAACCGTAATAGCATCTCCAGGTGGAGCTGGGAGAGATGTCTGAAACCCTGGAGCGCTGCTGCCTGCCAGTGTGTGGATGACACTGAGCTAGGTGGACTAGGGATCCGATCCAGTATATAATGAAGCTTTTGTATGCTCATCAATGGTGTTGCCAGCCCCCACTGGGGACTCAAGCCCAGGGGGGCAGGGGCACGCAAAAATAACCTGTAAGGGTGTGGAGTACATGCTGCACATGTGTGTGGCAACACGATGCCACTATTGTGGCGAGATCAAACGCAGGGGAAGCTTCCCCTCCATCTTGCACCGTGGCACAAAGGCGTTGCAAATTTTCTTGCCCTTCCTCACCTCACCCTTACTCAGGACGCTTCAAGTACTTTGGTCACGTAAATTGCAGTAATTTCTAATGTGGCTATTGCGGTGGCTATTTTTTGTATGCATGTGTGCCAATACAGCTCCTTGCCAATGGTGCCAGGGACCCTAGGCACGCCTGTGGCGTCTGTGGGCCTTTTTTCGTTTGCCCGCTATTTGGGAGGTCCTCGGAGGGTGCATTTGGCAATGTGAGAACGGGCCTTTTCAGGGGTCGCTCTCCGCCTGTGCTCTCCCTTGCGAGGCTCTCCTGGCACCATCATTACATAACTTTAGGAGTCAGGCAAAAACATTTCTTTTTTGCCAGGCCCTTAATCATCTGTGGCTTCCTTGATGGGTTGGGATGTTTTTTAAAAACAGGACTGTCTTTCAGGCTTTTCCCTCTATGGCCGTTTCAATGCATGGGTTTGTTTGTTTATATATTGAGTTACATTGGTAAAGAAGCAACCAATACATTAATAATAGTAATAATAATAATTTGTATACTGCCTTTCATCTGAAGATCCCAGGGCACTTCAGAACAGAACAACAATAATAATTACGTGTGTGTTATGCGGAAGAAGCCCTGCTCATTTTTGCTGACAAGGGGCCCTGGGCCGATGCCCCAAGTCCTGCCCTGACAGCACCCGCGTTTTCTCCCTTAGGAGCTAAAAGGCACGGCTAACCTGCTTCCACCACGGGAGAAACCTGGGGAGGGGACTGCAAGGTAGTGGGTCTGTCCGGCTCGCCATTCCGTGAGAGCGAGCGAGAGCGCTGTTTTGCCAGGCGCAGGCGGCGCATGTCATATCAGCCCCAAAGGATCCAGGTCACGGTCAAGCCAGGCTGCCGGGCGGAATCCGGCTGCCTGCGTCCGCCCGGCTCCTTGCGCTTGGAGCGCCAGCGGTGGGCGGGTGTCGGGGCGAAGAGAAGCGGGAGCCGGGGAAGGGGGCGGGGCCTCGGCGGGGCTCGTGACGTCTCCCGAATCGGTTACTGTACGTTCTGAGAACTCCGCCCCACGTGCGTCCCCGGGAGGGGGAGGAGGGGTGGATGGGAGGGAGCAAGGCTGGCTGGCTGGCTGGCTGGCTCTGGAAGGGGAGGATGGCCGTGCGCGGAAGGGAGAGAGAGAGGAGAGGGGGGAGGAGGGAGAGAAAGCAAGGAGCTTGAGCTGAGCTAAGCTAAGCTGATCCCACGTGTGAAAGGATCTGGCTGGTTCCCCGGCTTCTCTCTCTCTCTCTCCCTCTCCTCCCCTCCAGCCAGTAATATTCGCCGGTAGCAGGAAAAGAAAAGAAAAAGAGGAGAGAGGGGGGAAAAGGGGGGGGGGAGAAAAGAGAGAGGGAGAGAGAGAGAGAGGGAGAAAGAGGGAAAAGAAAGATAAAAGGAAGAGAAGTGATCAGAGAAAGGGGGCAAAAAGGGGGGGTGGAGAAAGAAAGAACCAGGGGGGAGGGTGGGGGGTTTCTACAGGGTGGGGGCTATTTTCTCTCTTTCCCCCTCTCTCTTTCTCTTTCTCTCTCTCCACGGGGTTGAGCCTTCTTCTCGTTTGCAGCCATGGAGGCGGAAGGGAGCCAAGCGATATCTGGGAGCCCCAATGACTCTCAGCACGACCCTGGGTGAGTTGGATCGTCCGCGCGCCCCCTCCCCTCCGCGTGTGTCCTCCTCCTCTTGCATTGCCACTTTAGAATGCTCTCCTGCCCTCCCCCACCACCTTTTTAACAAAACTGGGTTAATGGGGTGGGTGGGGGGTGGAGAGCGCGCGCGTGAGAAGCCCCCAATGGTTGATCCGGTGCCGGCTCTTTCTGGCTCGCTTTCCCCCCTCTTTCTGAGTTACTCACCTTGGGTGGGTTGCACTGATCTGCCCCCCTCCTCTTCCCCGCTCGTTCCCGGCTTCACCCCTTCTTTTGCTTCTCCACCTCCTTTTCTTCTTCTCTCTCCCCCCCCACCCCCCTTGGCCAGACCAGGCTCCCGCTTCCCTCGGCGCCCCCCCCAGCCACCCACCCCCCTTTCCACCTCTGCCTTCCTTTTCGCTTTTGTAAGTTACACGTCAAAATGGCCGATCTGACATCTGTGCTTAACTCTGTTATGTTTTCTTCTTCCAGTAAAATGTTTATTGGCGGCCTGAGTTGGCAAACATCACCAGGTAAGACGGGGGTGAGGGTGCGTGTGCCGTGTGGGGAGAGGTGGGGGGCGCCCCCATCTCCCACTCCCCCCCATCCCTCCAGCCCTGTCTCCTTTGATAGGTCTTTGTTGTTATCCCAGGTCAGTTGCATCGGGTTCTTGCCCCCCTCCTTCCCCTCCAGAACCCCCCCCTTTCCACCACTCTCACACAGTCACAGACAGACACACGTTTTTTGTTTTTGTTTTCCCCTTCCACAAGGTTAAGGAGATGCGATATTTTATTTGCTCCAAATAACAGATCCATTTCTCGAGTCCTCTATTCGACCTTAAATTTGCGTGCGCGCACTTTTAAGGGATGGCAGGCTGGGGGGCAAGTGGGGGGGCAGAGCAAAAGAAGCTTCCTTGTGCCACCAAAGAATCCTTTCCCATCTTCTGTGAAAGAAAATAATAGGTCATTCTCTCCCCTCCCCAGTGGTTGGTTTTAAATAATGTATTATTATTTTTATGTTTACGTTTGCTTCTGTGTTTTTTTTCCCTTCCCCCATCTCCTCCTCTCTCTCACTCTCTCTTTCTCCCATCCCACAGACAACCTTAGAGATTATTTTAGTAAATTTGGAGACATTAGAGAATGTATGGTCATGCGAGACCCGACTACGAAGCGCTCCAGGTAAGTCATCTTTCAAATCAAAGTTTTCTTCCAATGGATACTCCTCTCTTTCTCTCTCTGTCTCTATGTGTATTTTATGGAAGCCTGAATATTCTGTCTATGAAGCAAGTGTCAATATATTTAAGAATCTATATATATACACACACAGTATATATGATTCCTTGGAAGTTTATATATCTTTTTTTTTTTTTAAACTTCTGGACTACTCCTAGTTCTGACTTATAGTTCTGAGTCTTGTTTGTAAATGCTGATGGACACTGCTTAATTTTTGCTGGTGGAAACTTGTTAAATAATATCCCACTTTATCTCTTGGAGAAACTTGCTTCTGCTGTTAGGTGTTATGTTTTTTTTTAAATAGTCTCTTTGGCTTATTTACCCTCTTTTTAATAAAGAGGTCACATCCCATCACTTCTTCTCACTTCTGCATAAAGCAAAGCGGAAAGGTCTCTTTTTGGGGAGGGGGAGGAGGAGGAACGATTAAAAGAACGGTATATAAAGTCTTCCCCTTCCCTTCCTCGGAACCAAAGTGTATATTTTAAATGAGAGGGTGGTAGCTTCTTGAAAGAGGGCAAGAGAGGATGAAACTGTGTCCATATTTTTTTTATATATTTTTGCCGCTTCTTTTCCAGTGCTGAGTTCACGCTGTGTCCCATTTCCCTCTCCACCTTCTCTTGTTCTTTGTCTCATTTCAGAGGCTTTGGTTTCGTTACATTTGCTGATCCGGCAAGCGTAGATAAAGTATTAGCTCAACCCCACCACGAATTAGATTCCAAGACGGTATGTTATATGATGTGATGGAATTGGTGTTTGTGTGTGTGCGGCGTTTTAATGTCTCCTTTATTTCCTGCAATATTATGACTGTGACAGGCTTATTTAAAGAGACAGTGCCCCTTTTTTGTTGTTGTCGAGTCTGCCGGAGGTTTCTCGTTCAGTTTTTTTTTTACTCCCTAAAAGAAGCACCAGTCTGTTACTAAGCCTGGAAGTTCTTTCTGGCTTTATGAAATCTCCTAAAATGTTAAATAACTTGCTAGCCACTTCAGTTTTAAACCAGTTTGTTGTGCTTAGTTGTTTTCTGCTAATTGCATCTTGAGCTACTCAGCTTAAAGAACTGCATTCCGGTACAACAACAAAATAAGCTTTCTGTTATGTCAGAAAAATGTTAGTTTTGCTCAGTGTTGGTTTTTTTTTTTTTTAAAGTTTTGTTATTATTCTTATCGCAAAACTTCAAAATCCTCTTCTTAATGCCCTTCCAGATATTTGAAAGTTATGCTCCCCCTTTTTTTTAACCTAACAAGGTGTGTTCTGTGGCTCTGCAACTAATAAGTTTCAATGGGATCATAGTCATTGTTTAGTTCTTGTTGATGTTATTCAAAATCCGTCCATTGTACCGGACTTAAAACAGCTTGAAGAGTTAAATGCTAGTTTGATTTAAGAGCGTAAGAGTTTCCTGCCATCCCCACCTTTCCCAGTACAAGTCCTAACTCATCTGTCCTACCAGAAAAAAAGGGAAGTTTGTGCCCTGTTATCTTCATTAGTAATCTTTGAGCAAAATTATAATTAAAGGACACTGGGAAAGGTCACCTCTGCTACAGCAGTTCTCTGTATGGAGTGGGGGCCTCCCCCTTTTTCTTTTGAGGAGGGAGGCATCTGATGCAGTTGTCTGATGTACACCCATGACATTTATAAAATTAATTAATGTGAATGTTTTTCTTCAACATTAATAGCGCACAGTCCATTTTGTAAAAGGTGTGTGTGTCTATGTGTGTGGTTCTTTGACGCAACATATGCACTAATGTTACCAAGATCTGTTTTGTAATGGATTCCTTTTAAAACAAAACAAAAAAAGATTTGGAATCAAACGGGGGTTTTTTCCTTCCAATTTCTAGTAACGTGCTTGCATGAAAGCAGGTGGAAATATTTTCGAGCTGTTAATAACTTTTATGTACAAATTCTGCTGGGCTTGCCTGAGCATGTAAGCCGTGCTCAAGCATTTCATAATTTTGGGGTTTATTTATTTATTTGGTGGGGTGGTAGCATTTCATGAGATTTGGCTACGCTCCTGGGAAATTGTCTCCTTATGTTTATACAAATTTATTTATTTAGGTGTAAAAATCCAGGCAGGGAAAAAACCTTTTGTAAACGTGGGTTGTACAAAGAAAGCACACTGCTTTGGTCATCCTTCCACCTATTGACCATTAATCCCGAGAGTGTATTAATTACCATTGTCGTTTATACAGTGCCATTAACTATGTGGCATTTTACAGAGGAACTAGAGAGAGAGAGAGAGAGAGAGAGAGAGAGAGATCTTTGTCCCCAAGGAGCTTACAGTCTAAAACTCACAGTGGGAAATATGGAGGGGAAGGAGAGAAGAGGCTAGCAAAAGATAGGAGAAATTGCTTTTTACATGTATGTAAAAGGCCTGGCAGCCCCAGCCACTTTCTCATAGGGTGGTGTTGGGATGGGGAATCGTGTTAAGCAGTTGGTTGCGGTGCACCCACATCACTTAGTTTGTGATGTAAGCAAGGCCAAAACTGCATTTATTTGACCACGATGTCGCCCAAGCACACTCGGATTGGCATGGGGTTACCTGCCCCGAAATCTGTGTTTCTCCAGAGTTAAAAAGAGAGAAAGCTAAGATGGGGTTTCGCTTTATAGCTGCTGACTTCTTAGACCTCTGATAGTATCTTGTCCTGCATAGCATTTGACTCTGTTTCAACGTTCAGCACAGGAAGCAGCTCGGTTGGGTATTGACATGGAAGGCGCCGCTCTTGTTTACAGTTACGTTAAAAGCTTGGTTTAGGTAATGGCCATTCATATCAGAAATAGTACTATTATTATTAGTCATTTCCTAGAGGACTTGTAGATACAGTAAGTAGCATTGTATCTATCTAACTAACTAATTTTTATTTTTAGTAGCCTTTTTTTCTGTCGGCTGTTCTTTTAAATAGTTGACAGGGATACGCAACAGGTATGGATTTGCCGTGTGGGTCGTGCTTTAAATCTCCTGGTTGCTTTAGGCTGACATTTCCCCCATTTTGGAGCAGTGAAAAGAGTCACTGTACGAAAGACACCCAACCTTTTGAGTTTAACCTACGCTTTAGAGCTTGATGACTTACATCAACTCTCCCAAACATTATAGTTGTATAAAAATGGCAGGCCTGTTCTCTGCCCCCCCCCACCCTCCGTCCCCAAACTTTTAGAGCACTCAATGGGAAATCTGCACCTGTTGTATTTCTCTGGTAGAAAAGTATCTAGCCAGTGCTGAATATATATGTGTATATGTATGTAGACAATGTTAATCTCTATGAAAGGGTTAGCTTTGTAGATTAAGGATTTTATGAGTTTTCTCTTCATGCTTCACGAACTGTTACAGTGGTGTATAGTCACTCATTTCTCAGGTATATGGTTTTTCTTTTCTTGCTTTTTAATTATTTTTTTAAAAAAGTTTTTATCATAAGTGGAGTGTGGTGTGATGAGACATGCCAGCTAAGGGACACAAGTTGAATGAAAGCAGGTTGAAAATATCCCTGTTTTATGCAGGCTGTGAATAGGTATTCTTAACCTGCTGAAAGTGACTCTGAGCCAAGGTTTCTCTTAAAGACTCGCCCCTGGTTTCCAAGCAGAACTTAGGCTTTAAAGTGATACGAGTAGCCTGCAGTGAGTAAATCAGCTGACGAAGCTGGGGAGTAAGTTGTGAAAATTATTTTCAGGCCTGCAGTCTTGTAGCCACTTTTGGGGTATGTGTATGTGAGCCCTGTTGACCTCAGTAGGAAATAGGATTGTGCTTTGTGCATCCTATTAACTTGGTTAATGGAACCTGTACCCCATATCTGCAAGATGCTTATTCATGTCTAAGGTTAATTCTTTCATAGGCAGTTTATTAAGAAGCTGTGTCAGTCGGAATCTCTTCTCTGCCCTGTTCTGTCCTCCACCCAAGTTTGCTATGCAGAGGTTCATAAAGGTGTACATGACATTTTTTAATTAAATCAAGTGATTCAGAAATACTGTATTTTGAGCAGTGTCTAGAACCAAAGGAGATTCGAGACCAATAACATTACCCTGTACAAATTTACTTGAGCGGGGGAGTTAATTCACTGTGGAACTTGCTTCCTAGTGAGTGAGTTTAAGACCGCAGCTTTAGGAATCTGTTTTATTACCTTTTTTTGAGATACCCGTTGACAAGTCACCGTTTTTATTATTTACGTGGCAGCTATAAATCTGTGGTTTTAGCACCTTGGAAGACAGGAGTCCATTGTCAGTTAAGGATATAGCCTTAAAAAATTCTATGGTTTGGTTCAGAGTTTTATTACCTGATTTATTATTTTATTCTCATTTTTTTAGAAGGGTGGGATTGCATGTTATTGAATTAAATTAGCTTTAAAAAATCAAATCTGCCTTAAACAGATACTGATTTTCATATAGTTAGCCTTGGATGTTCAAGACTGTATGTTAGTTGTGGTTGTGGCTTTTTCTTAAAGGAAGTTTTTTCACAGTTAGCGTCCTTTCAGGGTGACCTGCTAAAAGTGAAATTGGGGAAATGCAGTTTGGGGTGGAAAAAGCTTTCCTTTCAGGCATTCCAGCTGATTTTTTTTTTAAACTGGCAGTTGCTGTTTTTGTTCTTTCTTTTAAATAGTTTTCTTAAACTGCAGAGGCTTTAAGAATCCAAAAGAAAACAAACACAAACGGCACGAAGATTGTGTGCATTGAAAGTCAGAATGGTTTGCATTCCCCTCCCAATTGCTCATATTTTTAAATGCATGCAATCTGCAGAATATGCAAATTGAGTCTAGCATCCAGGATTTGATGGTCAAATTAGCAACAGGGAACTCCTTCCTCTACTTAGCTCAAAATCTTTTTTTTAAACAGTACTGTATATTGTTGATAGCTCATAGAACACATTGTTGGTTCACTTTCTGTGTGCTCTTCCCCCCCATACGATCATCCCCCCCTTATACCTCTGCACCCCGTTAGTAACCCTGCAAAACTCAATGTACCTGAGAAATGAAGGCTTAATCATTCAGTACCGTATCTTTTTGTTTTTGTTTTTTGCCTCTCTGAAGAATCTGCGCAAATTATGTTGCTTTTCATTTTTCTTTTCTCTCCTCCCTGCTCCCTCACAGATTGACCCTAAAGTTGCATTTCCTCGACGAGCTCAACCTAAGGTAAGAAAGATCAATAATGGGGGGATTCAAGGCATCCTGAGAATCTCACATTGCTGAGCAATGTAGAGTTCAAACTAGAGAGGAATGGACCATGTTGAGGGGGTGGGCGGGGAGAAGCTAGCAGAATTTGCAACAAAGACTTTTAAGGCTGGAATACCTGGTGTCTGAAGGTTCTCTGAAAACTACCTGGTTTGTGTGAAGGAAGGCCCGTCTCTTGCAGATCCATCTCCTTGTGTCATTGTGTGTTTGGTACAAGTAGCCTTTCGTGTCTACCTTGGATCTTAATAATAAAATGACAACGATGTTGAGCGCCTGTGGTATATTGACAAAGTAAAGGGCTCGTCTGTTTCTCTGTCTGCTTTTTGGTGCCTTTATGTGGGGCAGTTCCCTCCTGTTTAGTTTTGCTTCTTCCCAACGTGCCCCCCCTTTTTTCCTAGTGCATAACTTTGAGAAGTGCTAGTTCACTCACAAGCTTTTGAGCCAGGGAGCCTCTGGCTGGTATTGGAAGGCCTGAGCTCCTCTGAGCATTGCCTGCGGAAGAAGCATTGGAACAAAGAGCCTTAAGTTTGATTGGATAAGTGACCTGTTCTCCACCCCCCCACCCCCCACTTTATTCAGGGCCGCCTTGTTGTAATGCATTTGGTTGCTTGCAAGGACATGTCAGTCATGTTCAAAAGAGCTTTTGTCCGAAGGCTACCTCCAAAACAAAACTCAGAACCAAGACTGCTGTTGGGGCCAGCTTTTCAGGGTTGGCTCTGTTAGTTCGCAAGGTGGTGGCAGTGGAGCTGCATTCATCCTCTTAATGTGGAGGAAATACTTTCGGCATAGGCAATGTTTCTCTTTCTTTTAAAAAAAGGCAAGCTGAAATAGTCCTTCTCAACCAGTACTGGAACATCTAGCGTCAACGGCACGTCCCCCAGAGTGTTCCTGCAGTTGGGTCCCGTTAGTTCTTTCTCCTTGGACAGAAAATCATGGCTGGAATCCCTCTGGTCTGTGTTCTTGGAAGCGGGGGAAAGGTGGACTCAAATCTGTCTGTAAGAGAAAGACGGTATGTCTTGTGCCCATTCTGGTTAGGGAGGGGTTAATGAAATAGTTGCACAGCGCAGGCATGAAGTGGTTAGGACAGTAAGTACAGTGTAAGTAAGTACGGGGTAGGTTTGGTCTGCCCAAGGTGGAACACACAGCCTTACTTTCTTAGAATTTATGAGTACAACTATGAAATTGGTATGTTTGCTACAGTTTGCTGGGCTAGTAGGGAGCCCAGGTTTCTACAGAGTTCCCTTTGACTCTGCTTCTCCGCTGCCCCCCTCTTTTGACTCGGAGGAATCTCAGCTGCCGAACCTTTTTAATTGACGTGGTTTCCAAAGCTAATTTATACTGAATTCTCTTGGAACTGATTCTCTCCCTGCCTCGGCACCATTCTGCCCATTTGTTAAGAGGAAGGATGTCTTGAGTGTGATACTGCAGGCACAAGCCAGCAAGGGAATATGTGTCAGAATTGGACCGGGAGAAGCTGTTCAAATGGAACACTTGTTCGTGGCATGCAACTCCTGGCGAGGGAAGGAACTTAAGTCTTGTGCAACAGTGGTGTAAAATATAAAAGGGTGTCTAGAGAAGAACAGCGTGCAACTCTTTCGAAATAGCAGTAGTGGACTACCACCCGATGATGTTGGATTTTAAAACTGTCGGATGACGTTTTGGTGGTAATAGCAGGGAAGGAACCCAAAAGCTGTGGGAGACCACTTCCCAGATCTAAATATGTATGTTCCTGAGATAGTGAGATGCATATATATATATCTATCTATATATATATATATCTATCTATCTATATATATATATATATACACCTTTTTGCAAGGAGTTCCTAGAATATGTAGCTGCTTAACAAAATATTGACCCAGACTATTTGATGTATTCAACTTTTAAGTCACATATGAAAATAGATTTGCACCACCCTTCTAAAGCACAGTGGGACATGGGTGGCACTGTGGGTTAAACCACAGAGCCTAGGACTTGCCGATCAGAAGGCCGGCAGTTCAAATCCCTGCGACGGGGTGAGCTCCCGTTTCTCGGTCCCAGCTTCTGCCAACCTAGCAGTTCGAAAGCACGTCAAAGTGCAAGTAGATAGTTACCACTCCAGTGGGAAGGTAAACAGTGTTTCCGTGCGCTGCTCTGGTTCACCAGAAGTGGCTTAGTCATGCTGGCCAGATGACCCGGAAGCTGTACGCCGGCTCCCTCGGCCAATAAAGCGAGATGAGCGCCGCAACCCCAGAGTCGTCCGGGGCCGGACCTAATGGTGGTCTAAAGCACAGTAATGAAACTGCTTGGTGGGCCTCCCTAAGGAGGGAATTCTGCAGGTGCAGCTCAATAGCTGAGAAGGCCCTACTCTCTGCTTCCACAGAACAAACTGCCCTGGGAGTGCGCAGAGCTCTTGTGTGGGCTGATAAGGCAGAAGAATAAATAATTTTGTAAGCCACTTCTGCTTATTGGCTCCCCTTCTGCCGAGCAGCTTAAGCAGTGTCTCAGTTTCAGGTACCAAACTATATCCTCCCAACCCCACTCCCCCAGGAAGAGACAGAGGAATATGTTTTTATGCACCTTTTTGCAAGAGTTTGAGGCTCAGCAGCTCGGGACATCCCCACCCACCTTTGTTTGGGCTAACCATGGTTTGAGCTTGCAATGGGAAAACCATAGCACAGAGTGGCTTGCCTGCTTTAGTGTTCTTGGGCATATACGCTTCTGTCTTCATGGTGCAAATGGTCTCTGGAGTGGAGCAGTGGCCAAACCTGGAGTTTGTTAATTCAGATGTTGTTCCAATCTAAGATGCTTCAAACCTGCTTCAAACCATGGTTTGTCAGTTTAGGCAGAATGCCCAAACCATTATTAAGCACCCATAACTGTGGTTTGGCATGAACTAAGCTAACGAGTTTGCCCAGATGGAATTATCTGCAAGGCTGATGCTGTACATAAGCTTTTTATTTTTTATTTTTTTTAAAGAGAGTCATCTCTGCATTCTACATCATTGGCTAGAAAAGTTGATGGGTAAAACTTACAATGATAAACTCTGTCTTTTTTCTGTCTTAATTTTCATGTAAAATCCCAACTGCATATTAGAAATGGTTTCTTTACATACAGGTCCTGAACGTTTCACATTGTAGAGTTTTTGCTCTAGGCTGCACTACAACATCATTTATAAGGTTGTATTCGGGGGGGGGACTCATTGAAATCAAACTGTTATGTTCAATGTTAGCTGTACTCTGAGTAGACCCATTGAAATGAATGAACATAGCTAGCTTAGGCCTATTGATTGAATTTGATTGCATCTGAACCAAGTTAGTCAAGATTACTCTGATGCTTTCCCCCCTGTTCTTGCACATTGTTTTCAGTTCACGTTGGGTTTCACAGGTTTGAGCATGGTTACAGGAAGTGGACTGGCATATATGCATGTCCGATGTGGTAGGAAAAAAGAGTTGAGAAGTGCAAGTGTGTCGATTGCATGCTCTTGCACAATGTGCATAGATATAAGTGTGGTAACTCAGTTAACACTTTGTGATACAGAATGAAAGTGAAGTAGATTCCTTAAAAGCATGGTGGATATTCTGTATGACCGCCCAGGTTCTCTGAACAGGATTCAAAATTGCCTGAACGGCAATATGCCATACAAATGCCGCCATATTTTCCAAATTTAGGAGGCTGTACGATTGTATTTCAGGGGCCCAGTCCAGCCAAAGTTAAGCACTTTTTAAGGTCCTAATTTTTAATGGAGAGAATTAAGAACCCGTTTCATGTTGTGCCCTACGGATTTCATTGGAAAAGTGCTTAACTTATGATTGGATCTTGTCCAAAAGGTGCCTTTCTCAAAGCTCAGGAATACTCTATTTACACACAAAGCAAGGCACTGCTGTCATGTTCTTTCCTTTTATAAAAGTATCTGGAACATTTGTTTTTTACCCGTTGCCTTCATTTGCTGAGGTTCACCAAAATTATCTCAACTTTTCAGGATACCTTGCGATAGCTATTAAAACTTCTTTCCTTGCAGTGACTTCTCTGTAGCTTGGTACAAACTTCTTTTTTTAAGGCTCAAATCGGAAGGTCTGGAGTTTTAGTAACATGAGAATTTCTCGTAAAGGCACGCAACCTAAATCCCCCTTATTTAGAGGTTATTGTTTCTTCACCCACCCTTCCTTAGTGAGTGTCTCAAAGGTGCAGTGAAAATATTAAAACATATGCTGGCTTCTGTGTTGAGCATGTGGTTCCCCCAGGTGGAAAGCTTGTATTTTTGCCTTGCACCTACGTTTTTTGGATGTTTCTCCCTATTAATCCATTCTAATTTGTTGAGGTTTGTGTTTTTTAAAAAGGGGCTTGTAATGGAAAGAATGTGTAAAATGATATCAAAGGCGGGCAAAAATCTTCCAAGGCGGAATGGACTTGCAACGTCCGTGCTGTTGCGATCCTCCCTGTGTGGGTTTTTCTTAGCTTCCTTTCTCCCACGAGGCTTCTAAACTGAAAAGTTAATTTTTCACAGTTAAATGGCCAGTGTTTGCCTTTAAAATGCAGACGTTCAGCTGAGCTAGTTGACAGTTGTTTCTGCAGAAATGAGTTACTCATGAAATACCTCTTCTGGTGTAAGCAAAGGACTTTAGGACTTGCAACCGTAGCATCTGTCCCCGCTTTGAGCACGGTGGTGATCTTTAACTCCAAGGTTGTGGGCTGTTTTGTGTATGTGTTGATTTGCAATAAAACTTAGCTTCCTCTGATGGAGCAGGGTCAACGACCGTAGCAAGGTAGCCATCCTTTAAAGTTCCCCGCAACTAAGGATGCCAGAGAATTCAGTCAGAAATTGTTGGGTGTGGACGTTGCCACATTTTCATCCAAGGTCAGGAACAGAAATCACACAAGCAGAAAAGAGCGGTACTTGCTTTTCACTCCAAAAAATGCTATGTTATTTTCTGTCGTCGTTTTTGATACTTCCTTTCCATTTAAATGCATTGAAATTAATTACATAATTATATTATTTTCAGCTGTAGTGGATAGCGAGATAGACATAGGTTTTTGATGAAGCTGAACTGCAGTGGAACAGAAACCGTGCTGATTGTGATTGTTTATTATCCTTTATTAAATTTCTGTACCGCCCTTTAGCCGAAGATCATGGGGTGGTTTACAATATAAAGTGAATATAAAGCACGGAAATCGCTGCCTCCTTACATCCCTGCCTAAGATTCTTGGTTGTCTTTTCCGCAAATTGCAATAAAGCTCTTGTTGATACAAAACATACAGTGGAGGGATGCTTCTGTCCCCAAATCTCCCATTCTTGTCTAGGCTTCTCCCCCCCCCCCTTTTTTTTACACTATCTGAGAAGGCAGCTGTTAGAATTTTTCTGGCCTTTGCTTTGTTCATCTGCAGGAATGCTTGCTTCTTCCTGAAGTGCGAAATCATTCTTTTTGTGCATTTAGTCCCTAACTTGTAGCTGTGAACTGTTTCATGTTTAGTGCAGCCTTGCAAATTAGCCCACAGAAGTTCCTAGCAAGCCTGCAACATGTTCCAAAGCATAGCTGCCAGGGTTTTCATGGGGGCTTTGTGATCTGATCATATAACTTTGATTTTGTATCATCTTCCTTCGTTACCTGTTTTGTTTCTTGGCTCAATTCAAAGTGCTGGAAGGAAGGTGGAGACTCTCGGAGGTTTTATAGCAGAGGTTGGATGACCACCTGTCATGGATGCGTTAATTGAGATTCCAGCATTGCAGGGGGGTTGGCTAGATGACCCAGGGGGTCCCTTCCAACTCTATGCTTCTTTAAATTCCTCTATTGCCTAGGATCAGATACCTTAAGAGCTGTTTTCTGCTATATGTACCTACCAGAACCTTAAGTCTGTTTTCAGTGGTACTGATCTGTGTCCCTTTCCTATTAGGAAAACTTGAGAAAATGGGTTTTCTAGCCCTGTTGACTGTGTTTGGACAATCATAGATTAGCTTAATAACCGGAGACATGACCGAGCCTTGCACACAGCCACTTTGTCCCTCTTTGTCCCCTTTGTGTGTGTAAGTGAAGAAGCTAGCAAGCCTCAGTAAATAAACTCTGTTTTCCCATTATGTTCAGACCAGGAAACTATGGTTAACAGCTTCCAAATGAACCCACCTGTGAAGCCATGTTTTAAAGTTGGCTTAATATCCTGGTGTGTTTGAATGCCACTGACCACAGTTTCCCAGTCCAGACCCAAGTGAATGGTCATTAGCAATAGAGGCTAAACATCAATGCTGCATAGTGGTTAGTGTGTTGGATGAGGACTAGGAAGGCCTTGGTTTAAACCCCCACTTGGCCATGAAACTCACTGAGTGACCTTGGGACCAGTTGATGTTTCTCACCCTTAAAGGGTTGTTGAGAGGATAAAATGGAGGAGGCAGGGTGAGAGGAAGCTCCTTGGAGGAGAGGCAGGATATAAATTTAAGCAGCTGTGTTCCTGGGTTCAGTCTGCATGGCTTAGGAAATAGGAGGCCAAAGCAAAGTGTCAAAAAGATCCCTGCATTGTTAGGGGTTCCTGATTACCTCTTTGCTCCACCTTGGGCCAAGTGACTAACATCAATGAATCTTCGTCTTTGGTGTGCACAGGTGTGTAGAGTTCAGAATTTGACTGAGAGTGAATTGGTTTAGTGAAGAAGAGCAAGCAGCATAAAGGCAAGGGAATTTGCCTTTTTTGAAAGCGTCAGATTACTGATTCAGAATAGCAACTGTGAATCACTAACCTATGCTATCCTTGATCATTTGGAACGATGAAGTAGCCTCATATTGAGTCATATTGAGTCATGTCCATGTAGCCCAATCCGTCTAACTGGAGATGCCAGGAATTGACCTTGGGACCATGTACTGAGCTATGAGCCTCTCCAAGAGGTCTTGTAAGCTAGCTCTCTTAACAGCTGCAGAAATACATTTTGAGGCTTTGGTTGGCCCATTGCAGATTTAACGGTGACGAAACGGTTAAGCGATTGGTAGTGGGAGCTTTGCAGCTGTTCATCCTGTGCCATCAGCATCTGGATTCCCCTGTGCCAGTGCAAAGCGATTCAAAGTGGGAAAGATGCAGGTTATAATGACTTGAAAGCCCTTGTGGATCTCTTTTCCTTAAGGTAACCTTAGCCCGGGTCTCCACAGTTGCTTGCTTGCAGCAGGTCACATCATTTGTAATCCTAAACTACTTTTGCTGTCTGAGACGACTTATAACGGTGCGCTTCAATAAACTCTGGTTCTCATGACTTATTGGCAGATGGGTGGGGAATACCTACAGTATTAGCTTTCACCTGCAGTTACTTGCATGATGCAGAAAGAGAGAAAGAAAGAAAGAAAGAAAAAAAGAAAAGAAAGAAAGAAAGAAAGAAAGAAAGACTCTAATGGCTTTCTAAATTTTGTACCAAAGCATTTCTTTGTCTTGCGGAACATTGAGAGCTTTAACGAGTTCTAGTGATAAAATGCACGTGTGAGAACACACAGACCAAATCCGTTGTGTTTGTATTTCTTCATTTGGACAGGAGTTTCACACTCTGAGCCAACAGAGGAAATGCATCTCTAATTCGGTGAATGTTGCCAGTCTCGGAAGAAGTTGTTTTTCTAAATGGTTATAGAGTCTTGGACCTCTTCCTCTTTGAGAGAGGAGAAAGGCTGCTGCCTCATCTCTCTCTCTGTTGTCTGTCTTTTAAAACCAAGATTAACTTTTACCGATGATCTTCCATGATAGCTATTGAGGAATTTCAACAGCAGTTATAGTCATAATCAACTTAGTTTCTCTGCCCATTTTGGCTGCTGTGCAACAGTCTCTGCACTTGGTAGAGTTGAGCCTTCTTGGTGGTGGTCCCCTCGTCATGAAACATCCTCCAGAGATACAGTTGCCCAGAGCCAACACTTTGACACCGGGTTACTTGAAAAAGCAGGGTGGATTTTAAAAACTAAATACAGTGTTAAGGCTTCCTAGGGAACAGTGTTGATTTGTTATGGTGGAAGAGTCTTTGGCATCTTTGCAAGTTTGGGTAAGGGAGAAGGAGGACATGTAAATAAACTTAAGGATGGTGATACCTATTAAGTCTGAATCTGTGTTTCCTTTATTATGTTAGTGTTTAAAGCTCTAAATGGCTTGGGCTCTTAATATCTGAAAAAACACCTTTCCTATCAGTGTTAAAATCAGCATAGGGGGCCTTTATAGTTCCACTACCCTCAGATGGTCAGGGTGTTGGTGGTGGCCCAAGTGAGGGCATTCTCTGCAGCAGATCCTAGCTTGTGGAATTCCCTCCTTACAGAGGTGTGTCTGGCACCTATGCTATACAGCTTTTGGAGGATGCTGAAGAAGCATCTCAGGGCGGTGGGTTCATTCCCCACGTTGGGCAAAAGATTCCTGCATTGCAGGGAGTTGGACTTGATAACCCTTGTGGTCCCTTCCAACTTGACCATTCTACAATTCTCTGTGTGTTTTGGGGACCCACTGTGATTTGTTTTTAAAGGTTGAGTTTTAAATTGTTGTAACCTGCCGTAGATCCGCTGCTGAAGGGTGGGTAATAAATTATAATAGTAACTTGAAAAACACTAATTAATTAATTAATAATGGCCCAATTTGGGATAGGCACAGATGATTTGTGTTTTGTTATTCTCTTCTCCTCCGATCCCCTTCATTACAGGACAGGGTTATATTTCACCCCCTCTCTAATAGGTAGGAGAGGATATCAAATGTATATTATGAGGGCTGGGTGAAAATTGGCCTGTGGCCCTGCTGGCCTTTGGCTGCTGTGATGTAGGGCAGCAAGGGGTCCTTTCAGTGCTTCTCTCTGCTTGCCCAACTTTTGGAGCATCTCTGCCTACTGAGCAGCCGTTTTCAGCCTAGGGGTTGGTCTGCTAATGACTGATCTAAAACCATCAAATTCATTTATTTGTCACTGCCACTGACAGCCCAGTTAATGATAATAGATTCTTTTTTTAGCCGGTCGCCTTGTCTGATTCCTTCTCTCTCTCTCTCTCTCTGTTCCCGCCCCCTGATATGCTGAGAATCGGCATTACTGAGAAAACGCAGGTCTTATTTTTAGCAAGAGATGCTGGAAATAGCATAACTCACGCAGCATGTGCCTTAGATATAGCTTATGTGGATGGGAGTGGAATTGAGCGTCGTGTGTTTCTAGGTGCCGTCTCAAATCCTGGCATTCTGCTGGTACTTCCAGGGGCATATGTGTGAAAGTGCAAGATAGGTGGTAGCTGTGGGAGGAGCACACTGAAAAGCATCCATGTGCCAGCTTCCACCCTGGCTGTGTGAGGCTGTGTGCACAAGATGCTGCCCCAAACATGCCTTGGCAAGTGCTCAAAGTTGCAGTGAAGATGGTGTGCTAGATGCTGAATTCAGCACATGGCAGCAGGTGTGGGGAACCTTTGGCCCTCCAGATGTTGCTGAGCTCTAACTCCCATCATCCTTGGCCATTGACCACTTTTGCTAGGGCTGATGGGAGTTGTAGTTCAGCATCATCTGGAGTGTCAAAGGTTCCCTGTGCCTGATGTATTTATTTATTTTATTTCTATACTGCTTTATATTTTTAATAAAAATCTCAAAGCGGTTTACAGCATATTAAATCAACCAACCAATAAAACAATAGCCAGGCGATGTTCCTCCGGCCTCATGAGGAGCCTCTTCAGTAGGGGTGGGTGAGTGTGGGCCTCGCCCCCAGGGCAGGTGGAAAGGGCCTTGCGGGGAGTGGCCGTCGCGCCTCACAGCCGGGCGATGTTCCTCTGGCCTCAGTGATGTACACCATTAGCTGACTGTGAGTTAAGAACATCAAAGGGAAAGGTGTGTCTTACAAAATCCAAGAGCTCCATCCTGTAATTCCTCCATCTTTGTCAAACTGGCTCCTTCCGGCCTTCTAAAAACACATGCAGGAAGAGCTGGGTTCCATCTGTAGCTTGAACACTCCATCTTGGCTCCATGCTTTTGGGCTTCTTGGCCAGGAGGCCGTTTCACTCCTTTCGCTGCTGCTTATTCACTCGTCTTCTCCCTCCAAGGCTGACGATGTTGCTCCCTACCGCCAGCCATGCAAAATACATGAACTGAGCACCATGACCTCTTCACATCAAAGCAACAGCAGACAACTCGCACGCACACATACGCACAGCCTCTGGGTGCACAGTGACTACTCAAAAGTACTTGCAGGAGGGGTTTTTTTTAACAGCGAATGTGCATGCACAGTGTGAGTTGTGTGTAGTTTGTGTGAGCTTTCTGCTCTTGCTTTGACCTGAATAGGCCATGGTGTTGAGTTCAGATACTTTGGTTGCAATTGATTGCCCATCTGTTGAGTTGCCCTTGACTCCTCACTTTTGCCTTTCCATTCTTGGGCACCACACAATAGTGCTCGGTGCCCGTTGGGATTGGTGGGGCAGAGGAAAGGGAAACTTAAGTTGTTCTAAATTGTTTTTAATACAGTACTGTGTTTTGATGCTGTAACCTGTCCTCGGACCTCAGGGCAGTGTTTGAAATTAGCCAGGCGCAAGGTGCATTTTGCACCTGATTATCGGCCACTTGCGACCAAGTGAAGATTCCTGGCCTCCAGAAGGGTGCCTGATATCTCTGCCATCTGGAGGTGCCTGCCTGGGAATCCTTGGATCTGGACTGTTTTCATACACTGATACCACATCCTAGGCAGAATTCTATCAGTTATATTTTATCTGCATAATTGGAATGAATTTCAGGAACCAAAATGCTTTTTCTGTGCAGCCTGATCAGGAGCGGTGAACGACGTTACAGTGAATTGTTGTAGCTTGTCTTCGCTTACCCGTCCCCACCCCACTGCCCTGTTCACAGTTGTGAAGAATATTCTTACATTATGAATGGTCTGTGTCCATTAAGAAAAAGAGGTAGGAATAGGCCAGTATATATGCAGGCTGTCCGTGGAGAAAGTAACCTGTCTTCTTTTAAGTTTTCAAATTTCTTAACCTAGCTCTAGGTTTCCACTTGAACCAGCCAGATGTTTAACTGAGAACCAATCACAGTTAGTCCATCATTTGAAAAATAAGACTTGAGAGCCATCTTGCCCCAAAATGGCAACTAGAAATTCCATTTTGGCAGCTGTAACCTTGGTTTAAGGAGCCATTTGGCGCCTAGCCTATATATCTGAGTTTCTAACGCTGCCTCAGGGTGAAGGGCGGGTAGTTAAATAAATAGTAACTAATGATAGGTGGGGCTGAAGAATCACAGGAGCCAGAGACAACTCATTATGGCTTTGTCCCTATTATTCTCCTGTGCAAAAGACAATATAGACATGAAAGTAGTACATGATTACATGGGAGTAAGTCCTTTTGAACTCACTTGGTTCTAAGAAGACCTACATAGGATTGCTTTGCATAGATTCTTCACTATCTACCTCTCTTAACACACACGATGAATGAAAGCAGGACATGGGGACGCCGACTCCGAGCCAGGAATTAGAGAGCAGAGAATGAATTTAGTATAGCCAGGTGGGTTGAGGAGAGGAAGGCTGTGCTCAAGTTTTGGACATGGCCCAAGTTGCCCATAGCAAAAAGCCTTCCTTGTTGCCATGTTTATCTTAAAAGGACTGTTCACGCATGGTTGTAGAGCAAGTAGTAGCTGGACTTGAGCAGCACGGCTGTCTATCACTAAATCCAGCAATGTTCATTTGCAATTGAAATTGCTCTCAAGCAAGTTCTGCAGTAAATATGGTTGGGCTGAACTTGTGTGTTGGGGGGAAAACATGCCTGCTTCACTGTACTAAATTTTATTTAAGTTTAAGCTGTCCTCCTTGGATCCACCCCATGCATGTTTTCAACACGTCAATTTTGGTTCTGGCAGCTCGTTGGGTTCTCTATGAGGTTTTTTATGTGAGAAACCTTAAAAATCTTGTTCCAGAAATGGATCTGGAGGGGAAAGCCATTAGCAATCTAATTCTGCTCTCTTCTCTTTTTCTGGAAGCTCTACCTAAAAATTATAAGGTTTCCTCACAGGAGAAATTGGGTTTTAGACAGGGCAGGTTTCACACAGTATGTTTTGCACCTTGCTGCTGGACCGTGTTATGATTCATCTGCATCTAAAGGTGAATCATCAATGCGGCGTGTTTCTCAGTCTTGAATCTCTGGTATTTAAAGTAGATTTGCTAACCAATGCTTTGAAGATCTTATAGGCTGCCCTGTGGATGTAGGTTTCTCTTCTCTCGTACCACCCTCCACAAGTAAGCAGACCAGATGGCATTTAAAGTGAAGTGTGTGTCCACTAAAAGTAAACTAAGGTGGTTCAGAGAGGTATAAATCCTTGACCTTAATGCATTTTCCTTAATTCCTGTTTTGGACTCATGGTGGAATGTCAACCCACCTCTTCCCTAATGAGAACAATGTCCTATACCTGTGATGATTGACGGCACGGTAAATCCATAAGGCAACCCCTTCCTCTCTTCTGCCCACACACAAACACAACACATTTCTTTTTCTTTTTTTAAGCCTTTTTAAAGTGCAGTTTCTGTTTGGAATTCTCTCTGCCCTTGGGCAAGGATGACAGTAAATGCTGCTAGTTGAGCTGTCTTTCTGCCTTCATGATGCCCAAATAGTGTGCTGTTTTTCTTGACTTAGGGAGGTCATTATAAAATGAGTTTGCAAACCTTTGCTGTCAATCCAATTCGTCCCTATTCTTCGGTAAAGTGAGCATCCTGGCTGTAGTCCTGTGACACAGCAGGAGTTGTGTGTGTTGGGTGCCTTCTGACGCAGCATTGCACCCTCTCCCCCCTTCTAGGTGACGCCAAATGCTTTTCTTCTGGTCATCATGAGGACTGGTGCCATGGCATGGCAGTGGCATGATGGATTCTGTTCACTGTGGACTTGCTCTGCATTATTTGTTAGATGATTAGGTTTTTAAAAATATTGTCGAATTGGTCACTGGTCACATGAGGTTGCATAGGAGAGGACTAGGAAGGGAAACCTAGGAATATAGGAAGCTGTCTTGGTTTATCAAGCTCAGTGTTGTCTGTTCTCACAACGGTCTGCTCAGATACGAAGGACTTTGCCTGTTGTCCATCAATCAAAACATCGGAAAGAGGGTCGGGTGGGGAGCACCTGGCCTCTGATTATCTTAATTGACAGATGGGGTCATCCTGTTGGAGCTGGTGGTTCTTTGAGTGGCTGCAAGCTATAGAGGTCTTTCAAGGTTAACACAGTTAGAATTGTGCCTGAAAATGCATAAGAAGTCCGCAAAACTGTTTTCAAACTAGTGAGTTATCTTGCGACCAACAGATTCTGGTCAGTAATGTGGCTGTCATATGCTGAATGTATGCACAGCCACGCGATGTGTCTGGAGTTTCTCTGTGTCTTTCTAGCCTTCCTCTTTGCAACCAGTGACCTTGAACTGCCTTGCAGTGTCCTTGATGTTTTACTCCTTGTATTCTTCAAGAGTTCCCCGCATCTCTTATCTAGTTGCTGCTAGAAACCGTCATGGTGCTTTGCCAAGCGAAGGAGTGGGAAGCTCTGGCTACTTCAGGCTGGCCTTATTCTTTCATGAGACTGAACAACTTCTGGGAAAGGTAACTTTGAGAATGTTCCCTTTTCTTAGAACAGATGCATCCTTGGCTTTGCAGAACATAACAGCCTACATCCTTTGGACTCCTAGTTCGCACTTCTTTTCAGAAGGTAATCCTAGCTGGTACAAGTTGCGATAAAACATTGCTTTCAGAATTTTTTTTAAATTAAAAGAGCACATCGCGGTTTGTTTATTTACTCAAAGCATTTTTAAAATCCTGCTTTTCAGGCTCCCTCTATAAATCCCAGTGATAAAGGCAGTCCCAACCTCCAGGCTTACAATCTAAAAGACACAACACAAAAGGAAGAGGGATGAAGGGGCAAAAGCAAGAAAATTTAGGCATCATTTCTTGCTTACAAAGTTAGTATTATTTTGATTTATTTCCCACCCTTCGTCCTGAGGTCCCAGAGCAGGCCACAACAATTAAAAATATCCAGCTGGAATGAAAAGATTAGCGCCAAAAATGGCAGGTCTTTCAGTATAGCTGAATCCAACATTTTCATCCTTTGGAATCCAAAAGATTTCTGTCCATTCATCCAAATGTATTCAGTGTGAAAGGGCACTCATATGTGGCTGATTAGATGTTAGGGAGACATGTTGCTTGCCTGTAAAAGTTGGGATCTCAGAGGCAAACAGCACATGAATTTGTGTAATAAGACAACTTAAAAAGAAAAGCAGCCACTGAAGGCTTTGATCTGAGTGCCATGGGGAGGGGCTGATTCTTTTGGTTACTTTCCTGCTCAAAAACTCCCCCAAGCCGCTTCTCTCTCCTCACCTACCCAGTCGAGACGTTCTACATTGATATTTACCTTTGTAAAGCTCTGTTGCTTCTTGACTTCAATTGGAGCCTCCCGAGTCTGCTTTTCATGCAAAATGAAACCACCAGGCTTTATTGTACAAATTTGCATCTGCTGCATGTGTTGACCTTCAGGTTTTGACCCTGAGTTTAGTATTTAACAGGAGAAAGAGGGGCATGCATTCTGAAATATTGGATGGACTACTTAATGAGTGTCACCCGCCAACATTGGGCTGCAGGTAGCAAAACGCTATAAGCAGACAATTCAAGTAGTGCAAAATGGCAGCTCCTAATAAAGTTGAGTTTAAGAGGCCATTGGCGTACTTTGGCGATTGGAAGGCTGCGTAGAAGGAGGTGATGCCTGAAGAATGAAATGAGCTGTGACTTAGTCTTGAACTGAAAGAGCTCAGCTAATACCCAGTTCTTGACGCACAGCATGGTATACTTGCTTCGGCACTGGACTTGCAACAGACTTCAAATCCATGCTCACCTGCAAAGTTCACTGGATGGCTATCAGCCAGGTACTAACTCTCATTCTCTCAGCATAACCCACCTCTCAATGTTGCAGGGAGGGGAGAGAACCGTGTGTGCCAGCCAGAACTGTTTGGAGAAATACAAAGAAATAACACGAGTTGTGAATGCCAGGCCTCAGCCCCTGTCATCTAACTTAGCATGCCTCTGAGCATGCGCAGGGTGCTCTGCTTGTTTGCTCGTTACTGAGAACCACGGACACGTCGTGTGATGGAGGAGATATAATCTCCAGGGCACCGCCTGCCATTTCACAGTTCATTTCTCTTTTGAGCAAATCTTGGCACCTGAATTTTACAGGAGGGCTACTTTGGGGAGGGCCCACCACAGACACTGTTCCTACCTGGGTAACTTGAAGGGTCCACCTGGTGGTCCTCAGGGCTGGATTTGGCCCTGGGCTTGATGGCTTAAAAGATTTTGGGTGCCAGTTCCTTTTCTCTTACTGGACAGCTGCTTCATGTTTTCTTAATAACCTCTAATTTAGGTTAATGCATATCACTGGAATCTGCGTCTCTTTTGAAAATTAGGCTCTGCACCCCATGTTGGGAGCTTGCATGCAATAGCAAGCTCCTTTAACACAGGAGAGATCAAAGGAACTTTTGCTCTTTCATAAGGTTCTTAAAACTGTTTGGCAGGTGCAGCTCTCCTCTTGTTGTGGGTGACTTCTTTTTAGATTTACTTCTATGGAACCTAACCAAAAAAGAAAAAGAAAAAAAAGAGAGGTAGAAGCAGATAACATCACACCACCTGCTTGTTTTTACCTTTTGGCTCTACCTGAGTGGGAATAATTGGAAACGGAGGCAGTTAAATGCCCTTGAAGTGGGCACAGGCTGAGTGCAGGCAGGCGGAAAAGGTAAAACTCCTTAATCCAGCCACGAGAGAATATAAAATTCTGTGTGTTCCTGTTTGCTGCCTGTTGAATCTCAAACTGTGTCTGGCTTCTTCCCCACGTTGAGACCCATATTGCTGTTAAAACACAAAAAGCAGAGTCTGTGGGCTCCTTAAAGACTAGCAAATTGTTTACATCATAATAGGCTATTGTGGGCTGGTCTTGTTATGGGGAGGCTTTCTTTGACCCATAAAAATGTCATGGTGAGACCTCCATGTAAAATACAGGGCTGTAACTTGGTGGTAGAGCTTATGCTTTGTATGCAGAAGGTCCCAGGTTCATTTCACCATATTGCAAGCTAGAAGATCTCTAGTAGTAATTCTCTGAGACCTTAGATAATCACTGCCAATCAGAGCAGACATTACTGGGGCCAGATGTACCACTTACCTGACTAGGTATAAGTCTGTGTTCACATTCACCTATTCCTGGACTGTACTATTTCCAGGCTGTTGGAGGGGTTGCATGTCTGAAGACTTATTGGTAGTTTTTTGTTTTTGTTTTCTTAAAAGCGCCTGCTTGCTTGTGGAAAACTTCATTTTCCTAATGTGCTATTTTTCTACCTGAAAGCATCCTCTCAAAACCAAAAGTAGCTATCAGCTACTTTTATTCCCAAGTGGTTCAGTCCAGCAACATTCTGACCATATGATGAATCATTTGTCCAGACTAGGTCTGCATGCACATGGTCCCTGGTGTCTCCTGCTAAAATGAATTCGGGTGGCAGAGCTGGGGAATACCCCGGCCTGTGACCCTGGGGAACAGGCGCTAGAGTGGAAAAGTCAGTCTTCAAACTTCTCAAACCCAAGAGTGATCTTCAGCCCAAGCATGGATTTCTCAGTTTTCTCTGATATATTTATGTGATGGTAGTAGTGCTGTTCTTGCAACCCGTCTTGAACAATAGAGGGTCCCGACTGAAGACCAGCTTTCCCCAATGAGGTGCCTTCCAGAAGTTGCTAAACTCCAACTTCCCTCACCCTTTACTCCTGACCATTTGACCTGGGGATGGTAGGTGTTGCATGTGCAGATAACACCTGGCGGGCTACAGGTTCACCATCCCTGTTCTACACACATTGGTTGGGCTTCTTTTTGCAGGTTTGGCGGAAAGGCTCCCCCCATTTCTTTTCTCCTTTCTCCTTCATTGGAGCATTCCTGATCTAGATCTGCCTGTTAGGAGCAGGGAGATGGGCGTTGCTCATTCATGTTCCCTCCTGCATAATAATTCTGATACTAAAATTAGTGCTGGTCTCCCTGGGCCATAATTCTTTCCTGAGATTATGGAGAATTGCGTGTCCCAGTGATTTATAGTTTTTCTGGGTCTGGATTCCCCCCACTCTTTTCTTCTTTTATATAACCTTGAGTCCTCAGGTCACTGTCCTTAGCCTTTCTTCTCCTTCTTTTTATCTTTCTCCTTCTTTCTTTCGTGGTCTTCCCGTTCTTTGCCCTTGTTCCTTCCCCATCCAGTCCCTCTTGTATGGGGGGGAGAAACACTTTAGCCATCTTCCGTATTTTTGCCTGTTTAAGCCTCTGTCACTGCGGGCAGATGGCTTCCTTGGGAGCTCTTCTGAAGGTTTTGTAATTGAGTCTTTTACCAGGGCGACAGGATATTATTAACCTTCGCTAAAGCAATTTATTTCATACTCCTTTGTGGGGCTAAGCTTTCTCTCTTTCTACCCCCCTCCCTCCATTTCTTTTCCCCAAGAAAATATGTACGTGGAAAAAAAGGTTTTACAAAAGGGAATAACCAAGCCTCAAGCATTAAACTCTCTCTGTGTGTGTGTATTTTTAAATTTGCACGGAGGAAAAAAGGTGTCTGCTGCCTGTTTTTAAAACAACTCTCGTTGGTCCCTTAAAAATGTTTTTAATGTGTGTTTGCATGCTTGAGGGGAAGAAAAAAGCAGTCCTTTCGACTATAAGTAGCTCGTAAAAGGGGGGTCCCATTTCATTTGATGTTTTAATATCCCTTGCTACTTAAAGCAATACAGCATCTTGTTTTCATCTCCTCAATTGCTCCTAAATCTAACTTGGGAAGGACGGGAGAGAGAGGGGAGGGAAGTCTTAGTGTGGTCCATCGGATGGAACTGAGGGAGATACGACTGACCTTGTTTCAAATCCCAGCCCAGTTTGGACTTGCTGGGTGGCCCCGGGCTGGTGGTTCTCTTGTCATTCTTCGTTTCCCCGTCTGCAACACTCCAGTAGGTATTGCGAACTGACTTGAGAGCTTGCAGGGAAGCGCTTTTCATGTAAAAGCGCTGAAGAGATCCCTAATAATGAATTAAACTTCCTTGAAATTTTGCGGCGGCTGTTCTTTGGGGAAGAGGGGTAGGCAGGGAGCTAGCTTTTCTTTAGTGTTGCCCTCCTCTCATTCAGGGATGCTGTTGCAGGATGGGAGAAGCAGTGGTCCCCCCTGCAATGTTTTGTGCTATCCCTAAGGAGCGGCAATGTCGCCACTTGCTTGTTCTACACACTGAATGCCATAAATGGACCTGCCTACTAGCTCTGTATGCCAAAGGCACCAGTTCTAATGTGCAGATGTATGTGTGTGATTGGCCTTTGTCGACAACGCTGCTGTAGTTGTGAATACTACGCACCTGCCTTATTTATTTTGTTTCCTTTATGAATCGCTTCCTACAAATAATCTCAAAATCATTTCACGATACTGTAAAAAATATATGCAAAACATCTTGATTCCGCAGGAACAGTTGAAGCCAGTGCATATGTAGTAACACCGACAAAAAAGAAAAGAAATTTAAAAATTAAATAACCATACATAGGAAAATAACTGCGTGTATGAACCAATTTCAAATAAATTCAGATACTGACTTGGATAAAAGGCTTGACTTAGAAGGCTTGCTGAAAGGAGGAGAGGCTTCAACAGGCAATAGGGTACCTGCCTGAAAGGTAACAGGAAGAACTACCAAAGGTTTGGGACCACCACACTGTTGGCCCTGTTCCAACTTCATGTGGAACAGATCTCCTGATAAGATGGTATCTGCAAGTTGCCCTCTCCCACAGTGATCAGTTGGGTGTATAATGGACATGGGCGTAGCCAGGATTTTTTTGGGGGGGAGAGGCAGAACCGACGTGATTGGTCAGTTAAATGTTTCTATTGTTTTACTTGATCTAAGGGGGGAGGCAGCTGCCCCCCTGCTCCCCTTTGGCTACGCCCATGACACTGGATGAGGCGAACTTTTATCAGGCCATTGGTCCATCAGACCCAGTATTGTCTACTCTGATTGGCAGCAGCTCTCTGGCAGAGAGGGGTATTTCCCAGCCTGCTGCTTGACCTTTGTTAATTGGAAACAACTGACTTCAGAAAAGAAAAGAAAAGCATCAGTTCTGGGTGAGCAGAGAAGTGGCAAGGGGAGCAAGGAATATGCTGTGCGCAAATGCAAATATCCAGTGACTGAAAGCTATGGGAGCCAATGAGAAAATTGCAAGTGGTTTTTTTTGGGGGGGGGGAAGCTCCTGATTTCCCTTAGGGTAATTCCTGACTGGAGATGCCTGGGGTTGTACTTGGGATCTTCCGGGTGAGACACTATGGGGCTCTGTGCCAAGCTATGGACCTTGTGTGTTCTCCTCCCCCTCAGAACTGTAACCACAACTAATGTGCAGTTTAACCTTGAATATATCCAAACTTGTGAACCATTTGTTTATAAGTGGGGCTGAAATGGGCATGTGTGTTTGGACCATCTGGATACTCAGAATTGGTCCTTTATCTCTCTCCTCTCTGCCCCTACCCCAAGTGGTTGGATGGGGATTCCTACCCTTGGATGAGATTCCAACCTCTGCAAAAGAAAATTCATGCGCTGTCATGGACCAGATCATGCATGTTAAATAAATTTAGGCAGATATGTACTAATTGGGTCATTTGAGCATGTAGCTGCTTGATCAAGGAAGGAAATTACCCTGTGTGTTTTCTGCCCTTGGGAAACATGTGTGTGTACTCTTTAAATATTTTATTATTGTTTCTGTTATTATTTATTAAATTTGTATACCACCCTTCATCCGAAGATCCCAGGGCGGTTCACAATGTAAAAATACAAAATGAGAACACAAAATACATAACAAAGCAAAAACAAAACAAACTACACACAAACACATTTAAAAGGCCTTATACTTTTTTAGAATGCATTTGTTTTATTTTAATTCATGACATTTGACAAATTTGTGCAAAACTAGACATTTTAACACACAAGGCATTTGCAATCAGTTATTTACAGTACTGAGTAATCAATATTTAAGCAGTCTTTATTATCATTCCTTAACAACACATCAACATTACATTTGTCAAGTGCTCAGTTTTAAAACTTCTTGTCTATTTCTCGTCTGTTAGCCACCCACACCCTGCTTAGTGAAACATCAGTTTTTGTGCTCAAACTCTTCCAAGTTAAGAGATTTGCTTAAGAAATCAAAACTTCAGAAGAGGAGAATCCAGGTTCTCTTTATTTCCTTCCGTTGTAAAACTGATGAGAGGAGAGCTCAGATCTATTGGCTGTCCCGCTGCCAAGAGACCATTTCCAAATGCAGATGCATTTTTTACAGTCTGAACTGTGCTCGGTTTGTTATTTGTTTTGTCAGTCTTCCCTTGCACTAAAGATGCAAGCAGTGTGTGGGGCAATTTGCTCATTCTGGCAGGACTAGAAGTATTTAGAGGAATTTGTGGAGAACGAGAGCTGTCCATCCCCGCGATTGGTTGCCTTGAATGTTTCTGAAACGAAGGTGGCCGTGGGGAGAGTGGACTCTCTCACACACAGTGAGTCTCTCTCCTGACTTCCTTTGGAGTTTTATCCATCACTATTCCTTCTCAAGGAGTTTCAGTTTTGATTTAGATTCTTGCACAAATTTTTCTACAGCCTCTGTCTTTCGCTCTTCCAGCTGGCGACCGTTGTTCTTTTTCGCTTTGCTTCCAGTTTGTATCTGGATTGCTATCCAGTGAGCTTCCTTAAAAATCTCCACAAATTTCTCCTCAGAAACGGGGCTCTGTGTTAGTTCATCTGCAAGGGGTGATGGAGGAATTGTGTCTTTCGTTGCTTCAAGAGCCGTCGCAATGCATTTTTCTTTATGGCCCATGGGCCCGACAAAAAGTTCATCCTCATTTTCACTTGTAGGAGACAGTGAAAGGTCAAAGTCAAATTTTTCGTCAGACGGGTGGCAAAAATCATTCACACACTCATTGGGTTTGGCTTCTGTCATTTTACATTCTGAATGCAAGGTTGTTTTCCCTTCGTCATCCATGAGACGACTGGCTGAAGCGACACGCTAAGAGGAATGAGTCCGCCATTTAAAAGGCCTTATAATGTTAATCAGCCAAAGGCCTGGTTATAGAGAAACATTTTTGCCTGGTGCCTATATATACAGTATGTAATGAGTGCACCAGGTGAGTCTCTCTGGGAAGAATATTCTGGGGAGCCCCTGCAGGAAAGGTCTGTTCTCATGTTGTCACGCTCTGGACCTCTTGTGGAGGAGGCACATGAAGAAGAGCCTCAGAGGATGATAATAGGATCTGGGTTTATATGGGGACCATGATATTGTAGTCCTGAGCCATTTTAAGGCTTTATAGGTCAAAACCAGCATTTTGAATTCGGCCCGGAAACTGATCGGCAGCCAGTGTGGTCGGACCAGGACTGATGTAATATGCTTTCAACTTCTCTTGTCCCCAAATTTAAAAATACACAAGTTAAAAAGCCGTTTAAAATAATTTAAAACAATTTTATCAGCACTACTAACAGCAACAGAACCGCCCCCCCCAAGTTGCCTAAACAATACTCCAACCCAAGAGTCTGTTTTAGAATTGCTTACATGTTGTAATGTTTCTTACATTCTCGAAAGCCCTTGTTTGATGCATTAGCTGTTCCCATACCTGCTCTCCTGGCCTTTCAGCAATAACACAGTGTTATAGCTGTAAGATGAAAACTGAAAATGGCTTCTTCTTAAAATGTACCTTAATGTGTTAGTGTTGCAAGATGAAATACTTCTAAATTAAGGGACATTATGGAGCACCGTGTACCATATCTTTGGCTCTGTAGGTGGTCTGGAGTACAAAATGTTTGTTGCTCTAACTCAGTGACATTTTCTATCCTGTCCATTCCTGGTGAATTTACAGTGTGGTTTTCTACTCCAGCCTAATCTTTCAGCAGACTGTTTGAATATATATATATATATATATATATATATATATATGTGTGTGTGTGTGTGTGTACTCTGCAGTTCCCAGCACAATTTAGATAGACTCCAGCACTTATTGCAGAGGTTGCCATTCTGAGAATCTTTTTGCTTAATGGACATTATCCTTCCTTGGTCTTCATTGTTTTTTTTCTTTAAGCAAGTTGGTAGTTCTCATGGTTCTTGAGAGGAGAGTGGAACATACGGAAGTTGTCTGAGGCTTCATTAAACCCAAGAACACAGAAGAAGAATAGGATTGTGCTGTTTGTACCATTGAGTTAAATGGGACTTACTCCCATATAATTGTGTACAGGATGGCAGCCTTAATCAGGACTGGACCTTTGTTGTCTCCCCCTCCTACCACTGTGCTGTTTCCTGTGCTGTTTCCCATTTAGATCTAACTTGCATACCCCATATTTGCTTGTTGTTCACCACTGTTTAGTGTTAATCCCTGAAACTTGAAAGCAGAATTAATTATACAAAAGAGATACATGCAACTGTAATTACAGTTATAATTCTGGGTACAGAATTTGGAGTTTCAAAGTGCAAAAATAAAGCTCTCACATATTGTAGGATTTTAGTATAGTTTATACTTGTGCGCTCTCTCTCTTTCTCTCTCTGCTAATTTAATACCTTGTGCTAGGAATTATTTTGCACATGCAAGAAATAGTGCAATACCAGTTCAATTAGTCTGATGTTTACTGCTGGTGTGATTCAGTAACCTCTTAAGTTCCTTTGCAACGTTGCCCTCCCTAAACTGAATCATTGGGAAACTGCATGGAAAGGCTGCTTGCCTTTGAGGAAATACAGCAGGAAATACAGCAATCTTCGCCAGTGTTGCCCATTTAAAGTTGGAGCCGTAGTGTTTGAACTGTGTCCTGAGCTTCCTTGGAAGCATATCAGGAGTTCTTTGAGAAGGATCGCTAGTGATGGGTAAGCACCTTTCAAGGCACCCTGTCCAACATTATTGATCAAGAGCAGCTACAGTTCTGCCTTTCGCCTACCATGCCTTTGGCCTACCAGCAGCTCTGCCCCCAGAATCCTCTGCAGTCTGCCCAGCATTCATTGACAAGATACTGTCATGCAAAACATACCCTCCAACATTTATTTAAAATATTTACAGCCTGATTTTCTGCCTGATAAGAAGACTCCAAGGCAGATAACTTCACTTTTTGTCAATACAGTATATAGGAAATGTAGCATTGTTTTTAAAGGAAGTGGTGCCTTATTAATGCTCTGCAGAGACAGTGGTGGAAAGCGCCTATTGCCCAAGCCTTAGAGCAGGGGTCATCAAACTTTTTCAGCAGGGGTCGGTCCACTGTCCCTCAGACCTTGTCGGGGGCTGGACTATATTTTGGGGGAAAAATAAGAACGAATTTCCATGCCCCGCAGATAACCCAGAGATGCATTTTAAATAAAAGCACACATTCTGCTCATGTAAAAACACGCTGATTCCCGGACCGTCCGCAGGCCGGATTTGGACGGCGATTGGGCCGCATCCAGCCCCCAGGCCTTAGTTTGCCTACCCATGCCTTAGAGCTTCTCCTGGTGTGGTGGTTCTGGGGTGACCCTAGGAGAGAATACGAAGACCAAGGAGCACCATATGTTGTCTGTGGGATTCAAAGTATCTCCCCACCCAGGCAGCTGGACAGTCTGTAACATCTGGCCTGATGAAGATCTGGTGGGACGATGCAGGAAAATAGCCACTCCCCCAACTTAGTTGAGGGATGTGGAACCTATGACATTCCAGATGTTGTTGAACTCCCATCAGCCCAAGCCAGCATGGCCAACGGTTTGAGGTGGTGGGAGTTTTGGAGTCCAACACCAGGAAGGCACCAGGCTCCCCATCCCTGCTTCAGATGCTGCTGCTGGTTTTGTGGCTGTTCCAGTGTTCACATATGGGGAAAAAAGACATGCTAGTACAGTGGTACCTCAGGTTACATACGCTTCAGGTTACATACGCTTCAGGTTACATACGCTTCAGGTTACAGACTCTGCTAACCCAGAAATAGTACCTCGGGTTAAGAACTTTGCTTCAGGATGAGAACAGAAATTGTTCTCCCCCTCCTCATTTAATCCCCAGAACAACCCTGTAAAGTACTTTAGGATGAGAGGCAGTGATTGGCCCAAGGTCACCTAGTGAGCTTCATAGCAGAGTGGGGATTTTCAAATATACTTGGGTATATTTTAACCCTGGGCTAAAATATACCCCAAGATAACCTTCAAAAGGGAGGGTGAACATTAGGCAAAGTAATAAAACAACTACAAAAGTTTCCTCCCCCTTTAATTTTTTTCATTCCTCAGACTACTCTTGTCTTCCCAGAAATATTGCAAAAGGTGGTCACTGAAAATGAGAAACCTCTTGAATAGAAAGGGACCCTTATTTGCCTTCACATAGCTTTTCGTCACCATAGAGATGAAAAAATGCTCAAAATTGCAGTCTCCTCCTGCCTCCCCCCCTCCCATTGATTGCTACCAATGGGATGTGGCTACAGGTAGCAGCTGTACTGAAATTGGTTGGGGCCCTTTAGCACTTGTGGGATTGCTGGGAGATAGATGCAGCCAGTTGCTTTGTTGAAAATGCTCCCAGAGTGTCAATTAAAGCAAGATTGTGTGCCTTGTAGTAAAGACTATAAGCCCACAGGCAGGCACTAAGTGAAAGGGGGCAGCAGTGTGGGAAAGGGGAAAAAAGCGAAGTCAGACTTTATCAGGTAATAACAACTGGAGCCCGGGCCTAGCGTCATCGTGGCAAAACCAGTGTCAAATAACTTACCTAGGTTCTCGGGATGTCAGACTTGTGGCCCTTTCTCTGTGCAGGGATGGTCGTGTTGGGTGAATGGTAAACAGAAGCAGCAAAACTGCTCCATGTCAGGGGTTGGCAAGTGTGTGTCTGGGAGTTCATGCTGTGATTTAGGTGCTGAGCCAGGGATGGGGGACCTGCGGCCCTCCAGATGTTGGATTGCAATTCCTGTCAGCATGTCAGGTGTTGTTTGGAGTTTGTAGTCTGGCAACATCTGAAGGGCCACAGATTCCCTCCAACCTTCTTTTAAACTGTGGTTTGGCATGGTGTCTGAATGGAGCTATAACTTCTCTAGCTTCCTGGTGCATTGTGGGGGGGGGGAGCCTAATTGGTTTTTAAAATAAGTGGGTTAGACTTTTGTGTGTGCGCAAGTAACCCCTCTGGAAGCAAAGGGATTAGCAAACTATAAATATAAAGTGTGTGCTAAAATTCCTGTGATAGTTTCGAAGAGGCAGCCACACAGAATGAAAGCGATTTTTCTCTTTCATGGCGCTGGCAGATTGTTATGTTTGGGTTGTATCCAACCGAGTTTTGCTCAGAAATGACCCGCTGAAATTAATGAACGCAAGTTAGTCGTGTCTTTTATTTTTAATAGGTCTGTTCTGAGTAGGGCTACCACTGGATGCAACCCATTACAGCCACTTCTTTAGTTAGAACTGTTTCTCTCCCACCTCCTCAGCAGAGTAATCCTTAACACCTTTCCCATGCCATTTTCAGTTCAGTGTGGCCTAACTTCCTAGTAAATGTGATTAGGATTTTGGTCTAGGAAGAATGAGTCACTGTTCACACATGGGCACTTGGCACCTCTGCCCGCCCTCCATTTAAAGCCAGTGCTGGATGGATATCATCTGTTGGTCCCCTGGCACCTCCCCACCAGATTTAACTATGGGCAGCAGAGAGTGGTGGTGGTGGTGGGGTTGAAAGGAGGGGGGGCTCCAGTCCCATAATGTTTCTCAGAGCCATAGAGTGACACTACATAGGTAAAACATTTGAAATTCTCCAGGCAATTTTGCACCTGGCTATTGGCCACTTGTGACCAAGTGAAGATGCCCTGGCGCCCGGATGATGCCTGATGTCTCCACCATCCGGAGGTGCGTGCCTGGGGATCCTTGGATCTCAACTGTTTGCACACACTAGCAACACATCCTATAGAATTCTATTGGCTATATTTTATCTGCACAATCAGAATGAATTTCTGGAACCAAAAAGTTGTAGTGAAAAAATTTGACTTTTGAGCCGTCTGTCCCCAAAATGGCAACTAGGTATTTTGTTT